CCCCGGGGAAGACCTTGATACAAGCCTAACGTACAGTATACCTTGACCTCAAGGTTTCCTTGATGTGATTTCAGGGCTTAGCATTCCCATAGCCTGGTCCTCGACCAGACCTCCTGGGTGCTGGACTGGTCAACCAGACTGTTGGACGTGGCTACTCGCAGCCTGACGTATGAGTCACAGCCTGGTTGATTAGGTATCCTTTAGAGGGGCTTATCGAGTTCTCTCCTGAACACTGTGTGGGGTCAACCAGTTATGCCCCTTATGTGTAGTGGAAGCGTATTCAACAGTCTCGGACCTCTGATGTTGATAAGAGTTCTCTCTGAGTACCTATTGCACCTATTGAGTACCTATTGTACCTCTGCTCTTCAATGAGGGTATTCTGCACATCCTGCCATGCTTTCTGGTCTCATATGGTGTTATTTCTGTGTGCAGGTTTGGGACCATCCCCTCTACTATTTTCCATGTGTAAATTAATATGCATCTCTTCCACCTGCGCTCAAGAGAATACAGATTTAGACACTTTAGTCGGTCCCAATAGTTTAGATGTTTTATTGAGTGAATTCTAGCAGTAAAGAATCTCTGCACGCTCTCCAGCTTTAAAAGGGGCTGTCATTGTGCAACAGTATTCCATTCTAGAGCACACTAGTGTCTTGAAAAGTATCTTCATTGGTATAGCATGCAGGCGATGAGTCACAATAAAGTGCCTGAAGTATGTTGACCAGACCACACACTAGAAAGTGAAGGGACGACGATGTTTCGGTCCATCCTGAACCATTCTCAAGTAGATTGTGAAGATTGGTATAGCATCTCCAGTGTGACAGGTTGTTGTTATCCAACCTGTCATTTTTCTTGCAGTTGTGACTGCTACTTTATTGTGTTATTTAAAGGTAAGGTCTTCTGACACGAGTACACCCAAATCTTTTACATTCCCATTTCGTTCTGTGTTATGATTTGACTGTGTTTTGTACGTGGTTTCTGTTTTTATATTTTAATTTTTTCCGTAACGGAGGAGCTGGCACTTCATTAAACACCATGTTATTTTCTGTAGCCCATAGAAAGACCCAATGTACATCTGATTGGAGGTTTGCAGTGTCCTCTATGTTTTCTACTCTCATAAAAATCCAAGTGTCATCTGCTAAGGATGAGACAGTTCTATAGATTGTGTCCTTGTCTATATCTGATAGGAGGATGAGGAAAAAGTACTGGAGCAAGCGCAGTACCAAGAGAGATTGACCTCTTCACGGTTGATGGTCTGAATTTTATTTTGTTGACTATTACACATTGGGTTCTGTTAGTCAGAAAATTGTAGATCCATTGAAAATTGTAGACTGGAAAAATAGGCAGATGTAGATCCATCTGCCTATTTTTCCAGTATTTCCTTTTAAACGCATTTTGTGTGCAATAACACCATGGTCACATTTGTTGAAGGCTTTTGTAAAATCTGTGTAAATTGCATCAGCGTTTTGTCTTCCATGGCATCTAATGCCACGTCAAAGTGGTCCAGCAACTGTGATAAGCAAGAGCCCCCTGTTCTGAAACCATGTTGTCCAGGGTTATGGAGATGCTATGAGTCCATGTATTTTGTGATCTTCTTAGTACTCTTTCAAAGATGTTTATGATGTGTGATGTTAGTGCTATTGGTCTGTAATTTTTTGCCTCTGCCTTATTTCCTTCATTATAAGAGTGGTGCTATCTCTACTGTTTTTAGTATGTCAAGGATAATGCCAGGAGTGATCCACCACAAACCTTGAGTATGTATTTACTGGCTGCCTGTCCCCTGACACAATGAATTGTTACTATTAATTACTTTAACCCTTAGACAGCGGCTATGGAGAAATAATCATACCTGCCTATGCACAAAAAATTTAAATAATTTTTCATTATAGAATTATTAATTCATATGCAAAATGTAAGAAAAACACGAAAATAAGTTAATATTTATCGTTTCATTGGGTGTAGGAGCTCTGCAAGGCTATGTTTGGCACTTGTCAACACCTGGTGCTGTTTTATCATCAGAAATTGAATTGAAATTGAAATAAGTTTATTGAGGTAAAATACACACAAAGGGATGAGGTAGCTCAAGCTATTCTCACCCCGTTCAGTACAACGTGTTAGTACATACATAGACACACATCACAAACAATAAACCTGTTACCAAACATTCTGAGAGATAAACATGTACATTTCCTCCTTCACAAGTAGTATGGTATCAGACGTACACAAATACTTTTATGACCTAGTTATACGGATAATTCAACAAAATATTACAGTCTTGGTGCAAAATTCTTATATCTCTCAAGAATATCATCAACCTTTCCTTTGTGACACATCCAGGCTATTTGCTCAGGAACAGTCCTTATCTCAGTGTTTCTATATACATTAATCAACGGACAATCAAGAACATAATGGGCAAGGGTGTGAGACCTTAACATACCACATAGTTTACACTTCGTGTCATTATCATGAGCACCTATCCCATGTTCCCAGTAATATTTGTACCCAAGCCTGAGCCGCATGTACATTCACTACATGCGGTCACTCCAAGCATTTCTCCTTTTACCATAAGTGAAATGGGTGTTTTGACTCACATACATGTAGTGTTGCATGGTTAGACTTCTCTCATACATTATCCCTCTCCTCTCCACTCCTGCCTGTGCCTGAATATTTCTGATTTTGCTTCTTATTTGTCTCATTGTGAATTCACATTCAATGTCAATTTGTGGTTTTGATGTGGCACGTTTGGCCAAGTCATCCGCCACCTCGTTGAGCACTATTCCAACATGAGATGGAATCCACATGAATTTCACACTATGACCTTTCAGCTGTATCTCAGTTATTCTTCTCTTACAATCCTCAACTATAGACATGAAGACTGGGTTTCGACTGTTTAACCCTTACACTGCTCAGGGGTCCTTGGGACATTTACACCTCTGTGCGCAAGAAAAAAACAAATTCAAAATTTTTTTTTCGTCTTCTAAACATGTTAATTTGTGTCCCCTGAGCACGGAAAAAATAAAAAAAAAAATCGTAGGTGACATATTTTGGGCGCAATTGACCGAGGAAGTCTGGCAAAAAGTGGGCGTTGACAGAGCGGTCGTCAGACCCGGTCAGCGTCACCCGCGTTGACAGATGGGAGTTGCCACAAAGATATTATTACCTAATTGTTTCAATGTCTCCGATTGATTTTTTCTTAGTTTTTTTGCAGTAATATTATTCAATAGTGTGTATTGTAATATATTTATATAATAAAAGTGGTTAATAATCGCTATACTCAAAAGTATGATGTGCATATTAGTGATTCAATTATTATGTTTATAAAACTATAAACAAATAGTTTGCTGCTATACTCAAACACTCTATACACAGGTTATATATAAGTATTGGCATGTTTTGGTCACCATAACGAACCACTAAGTTGGTATTGAGAGTCGAAAAGCAACAAGGAGTTACCGCCACACACCAGCCAGCCACTCGCTGCCACTCCCTCAACACACGCACTAAACTTTCTCCCCCAACAATACCAGTTGTGGTGTTATTACACTATATACAGACGTTACATATAAGTATGTGTATATTTTATTCACCACAACTGTACAGCTAAGCTGATATAGTTAGTTCAGGCACTAAGAGTCGTCGCTATACACAGATGGCGGCTGGCGGCTCCCTCACTCTTTCAAGGTCTCACGCACTAAACTTTCTCCCCCAACAATACCTTTTGCAGTGTTATTACCCTATATACACATATTATATATAAATATCTCCGTGTTTTATGCACCGTAACTGTACACCTAAGCTTGTAGTGCGCCCAAAGAGCATAGTAGCCACCCTCTAAACAGCTAGACAAATCGTGCAGACGACGTCACCTCCGTCACCCATATGGCTCCTCCCAGCATAATCCTTTTGCTGTTAATACACTAATACACACATTATATATAAGTATCTACATTTGTGTTCACCATAGAGAACCACTGACCTGGTATGGTGAATGCAAACAATAACAGGTGGCCACACAGTCAGTAAACGATGCTGTCTCCCTCCGTCTCTCAGCATCACTCCTCCCACAGCGCTAATTATTACAACAATCCTGCTATTATCACAACCCTGGTTATTTATATCACAGTCATTGGTCATCTGTAATATTGTCATCGCTAAATAATAACAATTATATATTTATTTTGACATTTTTCGGCGATGCTGTGGTCACAAGCTGAACATCAATGCTGTTCGCTCATGCTGCGTGCGCCGGCCTTGGTTGCTCCAACAGTACTGTGCCTCTCACACCTGAGAATATTGCCCACGATTTTTTTTTTAAATTGCATCTGTTTACAAGAGCCCTGAGGAAGCTACTGTGAACCCCGTGCAGCCGCGGGCCATTTGAATCAGGCCTGGCACCCTATGGCGTATATATACGCCATGCGCACCATGGGACATGTTACTCAGGGCGTATATATACGCCATGCGCACCATGGGACATGTTACTCAGGGCGTATATATACGCCATGCGCACCATGGGACATGTTACTCAGGGCGTATATATACGCCATGCGCACCATGGGACATGTTACTCAGGGCGTATATATACGCCATGCGCAGTTTAAGGGTTAAGGACTCCAGTGCTCCTCGGCTATCGACAAATGAGGAGCATATGTTTCACTGATTGTTTTATTACTTGTTTTTCTTTATTTACATCCATGGAGAGCTATTATATCCATAATTGTATCATACAGTACATGTAAAACCCAGGCAATAATTGTTTAAATTGTTATATGACGATATCTGTATTTCCCCGTGAATCAACAATTGATGATGACCATTGCCTGAGGGTTAAATTTAAAAATAACAGTAACAACAGTAACAATTATTTATGGTATCTTTATATGATTTATTGATAAGCTGTGTATTAATCATGGCAAGAACAGTAATAGAAGATATAGTACACATAAATATATTTATGAAAATATAAATTGTGTATAGTTTTTATGTTATTGTCTCTTTCACAGGAAAATATTATTTATTGTCCTCTCAGTGGGAGGCCCTTGAAAGCTAAGGACCTCATTGACGTAAAATTCACCTTGGCTGTGGATCCTGGCGACAAGGGTTCACTGGATGGCAAGAGTGAGAGATATAAATGCCCAGTTACAGGAGACATCTTAAGAAACAACGTTCCGTGTGTAGTGCTCAAACCAACGTAAGAAATGCATTATTAGTTTATATATGTGTGTATGTGTATGATATATTTAAGAAAATATTGTCTCCAGTAGGAGACATTTATGCCATTTAGTTTTTGTATTATATTGTTTAACTCCAGTATTTTTTTTATCTTACCCCATCTATGTTAACATGTGTGATTTATAGGAACATGTTTCCTCTTCCTTTGTTCTTTACTCCATCTTCCTCTAATGATTTTGTTGCTTTGCTCTTATGTATCAATTTCACAGGCTTCTTGATCCCCTATCATGCAGGATAAAGAACTTACTCCTCATTCCTACCCATTTACATGCTTAAGGATCTGGTGAAGTGTAGATGTAGCCTCAGTTTTCACCCAAGCATTGCACTGTTCTAACTCTGCCAACAGTATTCCCCTACTGTTGTCTTTCCTGGCCGAACCTATATGTGTCATCTGCCCCCTAAAGGCTAGCATCTTCATGGTGGAACTGTGTGCAATATTGTATGCTCCTTATCAGCTGCTTTTCTGACATTAACTTCCTTTGTTATTGTGGTTAGCTTTTGTAGTGCCCTTGTGGCTCTGGAGTCATTTAACCCTTTGCAGCCTGTGGTGGTTGAACTCTAATACTGTAATGGTTATTTCTTATCTCTATTAGATTTAAGACAGTCAGATTTGGCTGGGTTCCCAGCCATATTGATCTTACCTTAAATGAACCTGTAGGTGCTGCTGCTAAGGAGGCCATTTGCTCCTTTCCTATTTCTCGAAAACTGGTTTCTTATTTGGATTTCTTCCTAGTCGTCTGTAGTGAGGCATCACATTGTCATTAAAAAGGTTAATGCATTGACCTACTACAGATTGCTCTGGGTGAGTCGTTTCAACAAAAGTTTGCACTTCTTCCCACAGTCTACACCACTTCCTAATTGTTGAGGAAGGGACATTCTGTACTGCCTCCTCCTCCTCCTCCTCCTCCCTGAAGAATTTTCCTCAGCTGCCTCTTGTCAACAACCCGTGTACCATTTTCATGTTTACGAATGATCTCTTGTTTTTCCTCTATGGTCATTCCCACATGCGTTTTCTTGGCTTGAACCTTACCACTGGCTTTCTTGGGACTCATGGTAAAATACTGTATAAATAACTTTTATGTTCAAATACCCAAAAATTAAAAAAAACTGTAATTCTTTACAAAGAATTCAGGCGCGATTGTCACTAGGCGGGAGGCACTGGTAAACTGAGGCGCGATCGCAGTGCCACCACGCGCTAGGTTGGCCCATACGCGTATCAACAAACTTCGTTTCCCGAGGCAAAGCTCGTAACCTGATTTGGATTTTACGAAGAAATTGGGCTCGTAACCCGAAAAGTTCGTAAATAGGGGCATTCGTAAGCCGAGGTGTCACTGTATGTGGTTTGAAACAGTTGATGGTTTTGGCCTCCCACCACCACCACCACACTTGTTCCAACTCATCTACTACTCCATTTGCAAAAGAGAAGATTCTAATATTTATTCGGCACCATTTTTTCCTTTGAATCTATGACCTCTTGTTCTCAACATTTCAAGTTTCAAGAATTCCTCTTTGTCACTTGTGTCAATTCGGTTTGACTTTATATATAGTGATCATATTGCCTCTTTTCTTTTATCTTCTAGCTTTTGTCATATTTAACACCCCTAGAATTTCTTTATAGCTGCACACGATGAGTCACAATAACGTGGATGATGATGTGATGACCAAACTACACATCAGAAAGTGAAAGAAACTACTACACTTTGGTCCATCCTGGATCGTCATCATTCCATGTGATAATGACAATCATCTTCAAGAACACACAGCTTGATAATGGTTATCTGGAGATAATTTCGGGGCTTAGCGTCTCCGCGGCCCGTTCCTTGACCAAGCCTCATTTTTATTACACCCCCTTAGGAAGCAGCCCGTAGCAGCTGTCTAACTCCCAGGTACCTATTTACTGCTAGGTAACAGGGGCATGAGGGTGAAAGAAACTGCCCATTTGTTTCTGTCTACACCGGATATCGAACCCGGCCATTACAATCGTGGAAGTTTCTTAAATTCCCTAGAAGCTTAACATCTTCAATAAACATGTTTGTATTATTCTGTATTCCTTCAGGTATACAGTTTATATAGAAGCTGAACATTACCGGTGCAAGAACTGAACCCTGCGTTATTCCAGATATAACACTTCTCCAGTCTGAAGCATTGCTTCTGATTACTGCCCTCAGCTTTGTCAGAATTTTTTTTATTCGTGATAGCCTGCCTGTTTCCAGTACCTCATTGTGGGACTGTAAAAGCCTTCTCCTAGAGGACCCCCTTGTGATTTCCTGAAGCTGCTTACACAGATACAGTGCCATACTAGTAGGTGCCATCAGTCGCAGTGTTCTTATTGTCCTACCAGGGACCATGAGCCAGAACTTGCCCCCCCCGACACCCTGTCAGAGGTACAGGGAGCGGTGGCACTGTGAAAACTTTTATATAAAGTTATTCATATCTGCCACTACTAAGGCAAGGCATCCAGGAAGCCGGCAAAACAAAACCGACTACTACTACGTGCTTAGAAATGAGACCGTAGGGCTGATGTTTTTTGTTTTAGATTCAGCTACTGGGAACAAAAGTTGCAAGTAGCAGCACGGGCTACGGTGAGCTCGTAGTGGACTTGACCGCATGGCTGATCAGGGGTTTGTCCCTTCTGAGTCAGCTACGGAGGCTGTTGAGCCTCTCGCTGACGCCGAGGCTTTTGGGTCCTTCCAGCAGCCCCCTTTTTTTGAAGCCCCTTCCTTAGGCTCTGCTTTTCTATCCTGGGCAGTGGGCATGGACAATGGCTCCACTTTAAGGCACTCCTCTGCGGTTACTGGGGTTTGGGAGAAGTCTGACTAGAACCCTTGGGTCCCATTTGATTCTCTGTGGAGGGTCGTGTGTTGCAAGGGTAGGGATTTTCTTATTCCTCCCCTCCTTGTATGAGCTTCAGTTGGAGGTGGCTCTTCCCAGGGTTCATTTTCAAGTGCATTTGGGCTCTTCAAATTCGTCCTTCCTCCTGAGGTACCCCAGCTGGGGCTTGGTACGTACCTCCTGCACGACCCGGTTTACACCTTGGTTATGAACCCGGCTTCCTTTGAGTTTGGATGCTTTACGAGGTTCCAGAGTCGTCCTGGTTGGCAAACAGTCCTTTGTTTTTACTTGAGGCTATCTTCTTGAGGTCATCTTGAGATGATTTCGGGGCTTAGCGTCCTCGCGGCTCGGTCCTCGACCAGGCCTCCATTTTGTTACACAGACCCCCAGGAAGTAGCCTGTAGCAGTTGTCTAACGCCTAGGTACCTATTTACTGCTAGGTGAACGGGAACATAAGGGTGAAAGAAACTGCCCATTTGTTTCCGCCTTAAACGGGGATGGAACCCGGATCCTCGGGACTACTAATCCGAAGCGCTGTCCACTTAGCCGTCATTCTCCACTCAGGCCTATCAGGGTTTGGCGCAGTTTCTACCATACCTGCATGCTTGAGTGGGGAGAGATGTCTACTGTGTTGCAGGTATATCCTTGAACCCCTGAGGGGTTCTTTTAAGTCCCTCCATGCCTGCCTCTTTGCTCCTGCCCTTTCTCGTGATGTGGGTTGGTTGCTGCTGCATGCTTAGGTTTCCCAGCTGTCAGCTTCTTTGGTTGCAGTTGACCTTCATGGCCGCTCTCATTTGGCTTCTGTCGCACATTTTGACAATTACATCTTGTAACGCTACCATCATTACCTAGCCTCAAAACCTTACATTTGTCAGTATTAACACTTTGGGACTCTTTAACGCCGCTGGCGTCAACCGTTTTTCTCTCGAGTCCGAGTTGGTGACTCGAGCGGCGTCCACATTTTAAAATATTTGTTAAAAATTTAAATTTTATCCAATCAATCTGGGAGTGGTTTTAAAATGAGCGCCTTTATAATGCGCACAATTGATATTCAAATGAAAGATGTAACACGAAAATTGATGTCGGTGATCTTTCTAGCTTGGCCTTGGTTTCAGGTGCTGCCTGCTTGTTGTCGGAACCCAAGCATTTTTCCATGGCTCTGCCTCTTTCAGAGGGTCAGGCAAGACCCTCAATTCTGCGACTCCCCGGTTAGAATGCAAACTTTTCAGGCCAGATTTACTCACCCGATCTGACGAACTCTGGTTCGCTGAAACGGGGAATGTGCGAATTTGCTTAGGATGTTGGGACAGAGTTCACAGACTGGGTGAAGATTTTCCATCATATCACATGATAAAATATTAAATATCCTTCATATGACAGATTGAAATTAAAATTTTCCTCAGTGAAATCTCCCTCCCACCCACACTACTGCACCCTCCCTCACAGCCTTTATCCATCCCCCACTGCCTTTCTCCCTTCTACCCCTCACTGCTTTTCTCCCTCTCTCTCTCTCCTACCCTCACTGCTTTTCTCCCTCTCTCCCTCCCTTCTTCCCTCTCTGCCTCCCTCCCTCCCTCTCTGCCTCCCTCCCTCCCTCCCTCCATCTGTTTTTCTTCTAATGCTTCAGTGACTTTGTCATACTGGTCAAGTAGCTGTGAGAGGCGCGATCTTCCTGCTCTAAATCCATGTTGGCCTGGGTTGTGATGGTCATTGGTCTCCATGAAACTGATGACCTGATTCCTGATTACTCTCAAATATTTTTATTATGTGGGACGGTAGTGCAACTGGTCTATAATTCTTTGCCAATGCTTTGCTGCCTCCCTTGTGTAGAGAAGCTATGTCTGTTGATTTAAGTGTATCTGGGATCTTCTCTGTGTCCAAGCTCTTCCTCCACTCTATACTGAGTGCCTGTGCTACTGGCAACTTGCATTTCTTTATAAATATGGAATTCCATGAATCTGGACCCAAAGCTGAGTGCATGGGCGTTTTTTCAATTTCTCTTTCAAAATCTGCCACACTGGTGTTGATATCAGTTATATTACAGGGGTTTGGATATCACACATAAAAAAGTTGTCCAGATCTTTCACTTTCATGCTGTTTATCGGAGTGCTCAACATGTCCTCATACTGCTTTTTTATGATTTCACTAATTTCTTTGTCATCCTCAGTGTATAAACCTTCACTAATACAAATAGATCCAATACTGGCAGTGGTTTTTGTTTTTGATTTAGCATATGTGAAGAAATATTTTGTTTTGTTTTTTCTTCATTTCTTTAATTGCTTTCTGTTAGAGTTGCCTTTCTTCAATCTATTATGTGTTTCAGTTTCTGCTCAATCTCCCTGTTTAAATTATTCCTACTTTGTAGTGAAAGTCGTGTCTGCCTAAGCATTTCCGTTATTTTTTCCTTCTTTTATAATGTCGTCTGCGTTTTCTTTCTACGTTGGACCTCTTTCTGGCTTTCCTCAAAGGAACATGTTTCAGACAGACTTTATATATGCTTCCGAAGTCAGTTTTTCTATTCCATCTGTAGGATTTGTATTACTTAAAACAGTTTCCAAAGAAATGTGTGTAAGTTCTCTGTTTATTTTCTCCCAGTCTATCCTTTTATTATTAAAATTGAATTTACTAAATAACCCCTCTCGCTTGATCATTGTCTATTCTGGTCTATTCTGAGTATTGATGGTAGTTTGCACTTCATTGATATAAAAACAGACAATAATAGTTAAAAAATCAACATTGCACTGTGAATCGACGTATGACGATAAGCACTCTTTAAGGGTTAAAGAAGAATGGACCATAAAATGATCAAGGACAGCAGTGTCAGTCCTAAATCATTATATTCTCAGCACCTCCATAGGCCAGAGCCATGGAGCCATGGAGCCATGGAGCCATGGAGCCATGGAGCCATGGAGCCATGCATGTCTTTCCTACTGTGAATGAACATTTGAGAAGGAAAGAAAAATATATAATTTACATAGTGTTCCTGTAATTTCTGAGTGTAAAGAGGATGGCGAGGGATATCACTATAGGCATCAATATCTATTGTGTACACACACATATAGACTATCAAGTAGCATAGACAGCCTGGCAAGTCTGACTATTTAATCTGAATTTGAAAATTAACTGTTTATCTCAACAGTTGGCTGGTACCATGGCTTAATGTACTCCAAAGAAATGTAAGGTAGTTTACTTCAGTATTAATGAAAGTATAGGTATGGAATCTTATCTTGAGGTTATCTTGAGATGATTTCGGGGCTTTAGTGTCCCTGCGGCCCGGTCCTCAACCAGGCCTCCACCCCCAGGAAGCAGCCCGTGACAGCTGACTAACTCCCAGGTACCTATTTACTGCTAGGTAACAGGGGCATTCAGGGTGAAAGAAACTTTGCCCATTTGTTTCTGCCTCGTGCGGGAATCGAACCCGCGCCACAGAATTACGAGTCCTGCGCGCTATCCACCAGGCTACGAGGCCATCCTCGTAGGTTAGTAATCCAGGTTACTGTACCCAAATATGAAGATAAGAGCAGAAAGTGGCGATATGATAACTATATGTAGTCATATGTTTGTAAAAAAATAAAAAATAAAAAATTATGAAACTAGAATGTATCCCACTCCTACTCCCTAACAGAAAGTAATTTACAGGAAATAAGTTGGATGAAGAATAATATTTATTTACCAATAGTGCTAGAGGGTTAGAGTAAACTCAAGGTGGGTGTATTAAAATCAATGAAAGTTTAAAAGTATTTTTAAAATAAACAAAGATGAGACACCATGAACATGATGTTCTTCAACTACAAATAGGTAATGAGAAGTATAGAAATTGTCTTGTGAGGAAATATCTTCATTCTTGGCTGCCTCTCCAGTACACTGTAGCTTCATTAATATTAGTTGATCATACAGAGTTGTTATCAGAGTTGTTAATCCCAGAGTTGCCCTGGGAGCCGGTCGGTCGAGCGGACAGCACACTGGACTTGTGATCCTGTGGTCCCGGGTTCGATCCTGGGCACCGGCGAGAAACAATAGGCAGAGTTTCTTTTACCCTATGCCCCTGTTACCTAGCAGTAAAATAGGTACCTGGGTGTTAGTCAGCTGTCACGGGCTGCTTCCTGGGGGTGGAGGCCTGGTCGAGGACCGGGCTGCGGGGACACTAAAAAGCCCCGAAATCATCTCAAGATAACCTCAAGATAACCATCTATGTGACATTCAGCCACTGTGTGGACACTGGTTATGTATTTAAGACAATTAGTATATTGCTTATATTTTAATGTCTTAATATTTTCAGAGGTGATGTGGTAACGAAGGAATGTGCAGAAACTTTGATCAAGAAGGATATGATTCATCCTCTTACTGGAGGCAAATTGACTGAAAAGGACATTATCCCAATGCAGAGGGTACGTAAAGAAATGAACAAATCCACAAGGGCCATGACGAGGATTCGAACCTGCGTCCAGGAGCATCCCAGACACTGCCTTAATCGACTGAGCTACGACAGGGTAAAAGGGTTGAAACCGAAGGTTGAGCTACCCTGTCATAGCTAAGTCGATTAAGGCAGTGTCTGGGATGCTTCCGGACGCAGGTTCGAATTCTCGTCACGGTCCTTGTGGATTTGTTCATTTGATGCATCACGTTAGTGTGATCTTTGTGTGTAGTGTAATGCAGAGGGTACGTACATGTAATTATGTCACACCACTGATAGGTGGTGTGTGTGTGTGCAGTCATTACCAGTTATGCAACAGATTTGTAATATATATATACTGTGTATATATATATATATATATATATATATATATATATATATATATATATATATATATATATATATATATATATATATATATATATATATATATGTCGTACCTAGTAGCCAGAACGTACTTCTCAGCCTACTATGCAAGGACCGATTTGCCTAATAAGCCAAGTTTTCCTGAATTAATATATTTTCTCTATTTTTTTTCTTATGAAATGATAAAGCTACCCATTTCATTATGTATGAGGTCCATTTTTTTTATTGGAGTTAAAATTAACTTAGATATATGACCAAACCTAACCAACCCTACCTAACCTAACCTAACCTATCTTTATAGGTTAGGTTAGGTTAGGTAGGCGAAAAAGTTAGGTTAGGTTAGGTAGGTTAGGTAGTCGAAAAAACATTATTTCATGAAAACTTGGCTTATTAGGCAAATCGGGCCTTGCATAGTAGGCCGAGAAGTGCGTTCTGGCTACTAGGCACGACATATATATATATATATATATATATATATATATATATATATATATATATATATATATATATATATATATATATATATATATATATATATATATTTTATACCCGCATTTTGGGTGAGGTGATATGTTACAACAGTTTTGGATGAGGTGAACAAAACTTTCAACACAAGACAGAACACGAAACAATGGGTATTAATTGGGTAAATTGAAGGTAAGAATGGAAGTAACTGCAGAGGGCCTATTGGCCCATATTTCTTGATGCTTCTATATTGGAGCGGAGTCTTGAGGTGGGTAGAATATAGTTGTGCATTAATTGGCTGGCCAATTAATGCAGAATATAGTTGTGCATTAATTGGCTGGCCAATTAATGCAGAATATAGTTGTGCATTAATTGGCCAGCCATTATATATATATATATATATATATATATATATATATATATATATATATATATATATATATATATATATATATATATATACACAGTATATATATATTACAAATCTGTTGCATAACTGGTAATGACTGCACACACACACACCACCTATCAGTGGTGTGACATATAATTACATGTACGTACCCTCTACATTACACTACACACAAAGATCACACTAACGTGATGCATCAAATGAACAAATCCACAAGGACCGTGACGAGAATTCGAACCTGCGTCCGGAAGCATCCCAGACACTGCCTTAATCGACTTAGCTATGACAGCGTAGCTCAACCTTCGGTTTCAACCCTTTTACCCTGTCGTAGCTCAGTCGATTAAGGCAGTGTCTGGGATGCTCCTGGACGCAGGTTCGATATATATATATATATATATGTCGTACCTAGTAGCCAGAACGCACTTTTTGGACTACTATGCAAGGCCCGATTTGCCTAATAAGCCAAGTTTTCCTGAATTAATATGTTTTCTCTAATTTTTTTCTTATGAAATGATAAAGCTACCCATTTTATTATGTATGAGGGAAATTTTTTTTTATTGGAGTTAAAATTAACGTAGATATATGACCGAACCTAACCAATCCTACCTAACCTAACCTAACCTATCTTTATAGGTTAGGTTAGGTTAGGTAGCCGAAAACGTTAGGTTAGGTTAGGTAGGTTAGGTAGTCGAAAAAACATTAATTCATGAAAACTAGGGTTATTAGGCAAATCGGGCCTTGCATAGTAGGCTGAGAAGTGCGTTCTGGCTACTAGGTACGACATATATAATATATATATATATATATATATATATATATATATATATATATATATATATATATATATATATATATATATATATATATATATATATATAATACTGCAGTAATGTTACTGCGATTTTCTGGATTGCCTTTTGCCTGGTTTGAAAGTGTATTACCCAATGGCTTGTTTGTACCACATCGCAGTGGATCTGCCTTCCGCTACTTTGGCTGTGACGATTTTTGATAGTTGGGAGTATTTTCTTCTCGATTTGCTCCTAAATTTGCGAAAAACTTGGAGTATTTTAACCTGTACAACAGACCAGTGGACGTTTTATTTTTTGGATGTTTTATGCGAACATGCCTGAATGGTCCCCAGGACTATATGCAACTGAAAACTCGCACCCCAGAAGTGACTCGAACCCATACTGCCAGGAGCAACGCAACTGGTATGTACAGGACGCCTTAATCCACTTGACCACCATGACCGGAATAGGGAAGTGATAGCCGAAGCTATTTGAACCACTTCCCCACCGGCACTCGGGTAGTAATCATGGGCATAGCATTTTATCAAATCACCTCATTCTTTGGGGCACACGTGAAGTACACAAATGTGAACAATCCTGAATGGTCCCCAGGACTATATGCAACTGAAAACTCGCACCCCAGAAGTGACTCGAACCCAAACTGTCAGGAGCAACGCAACTGGTATGTACAGGACGCCTTAATCCACGTGACCATCACGACCGGACATAAGGAAGTGATAGCTGAAGCTATTTGAACCACTTCCCCGCCGGCACTCGGATGGTAATCTTGGGCATAGCATTTTATCAAATCACCTCATTCTTTGGGGCACACATGAGGAACACAAATGCGAACAAGCCTGAATGGCCCCCAGGACTATATGCAACTGAAAACTCACACCCCAGAAGTCGAAGAAGCAGCAGCTTCCTCAGCGCTCTTGTAAACAGACCCCATTTTTTTAAAAAATCGTGGGTAATATTCTCCAGTGTGAGAGCCACAGTACTGTTGGAGCAACCAAGGCTGGCGCACACAGCATGAGCGAACAGCATTGCTGTTCAGCTTGTGACCACAGCATCGCCGAAAAATGTCAAAATAAATATATAACTGCTATTATTTAGTGATGACAATATTACAGATGACCCCTGACTGTGATAAAAATGACCAGGATTGTGATAATAGCAAGATTGTTGTAATAATTAGCGCTGTGGGAGGAGTGATGCTGAGGGACGTTGGGAGATAGCATCGTTTACTGACTGTGTGGCCACCTGTTATTGTCTGCATTCACCATTCCAGCTCAGTGGTTCTCTGTGGTGAACACAAATGTAGATAACGTCTATATATTGTGAATAAAATATAAAACAGGATGGTGGGAGGAGAAAGTGGGAGAGTGAGGCGTGTTGAGGGAGTGGCAACGAGTGGCTGGCTGGTGTGTGGCGGTCATTCCTCGTTGCTTTTCGACTCACAATACCAACTTAGTGGTTTGTTATGGTGAACAAAACATGCAGATACTTATATATAACCTGTGTATAGATTGTAATAACAGCAAAAGCATTTGTTTATTGTTTTATGACCATAATAATTGAATCTTGAGGTTATCTTGAGATGATTTTGGGGCTTTAGTGTCCCCGCGGCCCGTTCCTCGACCCTCCACCCCCGGGAAGCAGCCCGTGACAGCTGACTAACACCTAGGTACCTATTTTACTGCTAGGTAACAGGAGCATAGGGTGAAAGAAACTCTGCCCATTGTTTCTCGCCGGCGCCCGGGACCACAGGATCACAAGTCCAGCGTGCTGTCCGCTCGGCTCCCTACCGGAATCACTAATCACTGGGACCGGAATCACTAATATGCACACCATACTTTTGAGTATAGCGATGATTCACCCCTTTTATTATACTGTATAAATATATCACAATACACACTATTGAATAATGTTACTGCAAAAAAACTAAGAAAAAATCATCAGAGACATTGAAATAATTAGGGGATAATATCTTTGTGGCAACTCCTACCTGTCAGCGCCGGTGACGCTGACCGGCTCTGACAACTGCTCTGTCAACGCCGACATTTTGCCAGACTTCCTCGGTGTATTGCGCCCAAAATATGTCGCCTACGATTTTTTATTTTTTCCCGAGCTCAGAGAACACAAATTAACATGTTTAGAAGACGAAATAATTTTTTAGATTTTTGTTTTTCTTGCACACAGTAAGAATCTCCTCAGGACCCCTTAGCTTCCCTTAGCAGTGGAAGGATTAATGGTAATACAATGCCAGAACAATAACAGAACTGTTCAGCTGGCAGCAGTAATTTTTCAGGGTTTAGCATTCATGTGTAGCACAACTAAAATGTCTGTGCACATAAATTGGTGCACAAACACCATGCCCTGTTGCTGCTTATTCTACTTTTTCTTTGTTTACAGGGAGGTACTGGTTTTGCAACTGCAAATGATCAGCTGATGAGCAAGAAAGCTCGGCCTGTGCTTCAAGCGTGAAGTAGGTTGGTCGTACAAGGCCTGGACTTGTAGCGGAAGAGTCTCAGATGTGCTATATAGCTCGGATATATATGTATACAAGTTTTTTTTATATTTTTCTTTGTGGTAAGTGATGTGTTGATTAATGGACATAATATGGTGGCATATTATGCATAAGAGGCATACTAGGAGCCACTGAACTTTTATCAACAGCAAATGAGTGATTACCATTATATATTTCAGGCAAAAAGGGTTCTATGTCCAATTATACAATTTAGGCTTTTATATATTAGTATGAATAAATACATGGTGTGCTAATATGTGTAATTATAAACATAGTTCCATCGCTATGGAACATTGGTGCAGCATTATAAATGCATATATCAGGATTATATCATATACAGTATATATATCTATATCAGCAGATATAGATTTTATTTTTTTTGTGGATTTAAGGAAGAAATTATGGAAGTTCAAGAATTTATCCTAATGTTGCTATATAATAAACAATAAATTAAATTTTATATCTACTTGCATTACTTGTACATGTACCTTACCATTTTCTAAGAAAGGGTAAAAGAACCAACTTTTTTTCCCACAATGTATTTCTTAATACCTTTGTTAAAGTATTAAGTAGGTTAAATAAAACATTTTCCAGAGTAATGTATTATTAGATTTATCATTTACATTCAGGAAAATGTTTTTGAATAAAATACAAATAAATTGGTAATTTAAAACTTCATAAATTGTGCATTTCTTCCATCACTTCAAATTAAGAAATGTAAATAAGCCACAGTGTTGCACATTTAGTGTCTTCTTAAGGCTTAGCATCATCCAGTACACAATCTTGTGAGCCTCTTCAATGGTTGAAGTTATATATATATATATATTTTTTTTTTATATAGGCCTCTGTAATTTTTTTATATAAGCACTATCAGGAACAATACATCAAACGATATATGACCAAGATATGGAGAAGAAAGGTTATAAACATTGAAAGCACACACACTGAATATCCAATTTTTTTAGACGCATAAATGACCTGGTGGGCCTTGGCACTGGCTCATACAAAATTAAATATTCTGCTGGTGGTGAATGTTGGTGGTGGTACTTCCAGGATGTGCACTTGGTGGAATTTGTACTGTACTTCCACCAATGGATGAAAATTGTTACAAATGGCTCTGGGGAGGGATGGAATTACTGTGAAGTAATCAAACACTTTGAATATCGATAGAACTGAATGTTTTAATTGGAATAAACCATACACCCTAAGGAATGTTATACTATATTGCTTTCCTGAAGGTTCTTGAGTCTGAAGGAGAATAGAAGCAAGTGTACAATATGGAATGCATACTTATTTTTTTTAGTAAAAATAGGTCATAGATTTTCAATCTAAGATCAAAATACACAAACTAAATAAAAGGTATTAGGCATAATTTGCTCAATTAGGTCACCAGTCACAACTCAAAAGAATCACATTACTGTCAAAAATACAATATAGATTTACATATACAAATATACATTTGCTAAATAATGTTAGTGTGTACTGAAAAATATTCAACACAATTAACTTTTTTTTCTTTATAATGTAAGGAAGGCATGAAGCCAGGGAGACTATGTAGCACCATTAGTGTTGCAAGATAATTAAAAGGTGATAAATATCACTGAGGAAGCCAATACAAAAACAAAAGCACACAATGCGAGCGACATCAAAGGTGTCTGATTCACCAAGTGTTCTATTTAATGGCAAATGACCTCGAGGAACATATGAACATCCTGAAGATCAGGACATTTTTACAAGGTGGTGCACAACTAAAAGGGACAATGCAGTTCGAACAATTAGGAGCAAGGCAGCGTTGTTAATATCATTATAATACAGTATAGGATTATTCATTTGTTATTTAACCATTACAAATTTAGATAAAAATACCTGCAAGATGTTCATGGTTAAATAGTGCACTAAGTGTAGTTACAGGATGAGAGCTATGCTCGTGGTGTCCCTCCAAAACAGGCTCCGCCAGGAGTTGAACTTGAGTCAGCCACTTTAAAGGCAGACGTGCAGACCGCTGCACCATATAGCCGGGCAGTGGCGGCATACATAGCACATTCAATATTACATTCAAATTCAAAAAATTTAATTAAAATAAATATTTTGTAGTACGCTGATCAGACGCTTCTCTTACAATACTGCAATGAAAGCTGACAATACAAATGGGATAAGTTTTTTCAAGATTTAATTCCAATATCTTAACAGCCATTGCCAGAGACCAAATGTTGCTGAAATTTTCAATGTTCTCACATTTATTGCATCTCATTTTAGATGCTAATGGCACCACTGTTCAATTGGTTATATATTTTTTAAGAATTAAAGCATCTCAATTTGGACACTTGCTTGGACTAATGAGCATCAAGCCTGACAAGTCAGGTGAGGTTTACCTAGGCTCACACACACTTGAATTTGAAGTGCTTTGCCAAATCTCGACAGTTGTCAAAATAGGAATGGGATGGAAACTTTTTTTTTTTTTTTTTTTACCATAATGAGAGAATACAACCTGTATAACAAAACAAAGTTGTTGTTCTCCTGAGCAACCAGTTATACTGTTTATTTACAAGTGTACTAAACTGCATGAAACATTTTCAGTAAGAATACAGTACATATATATATTTTTAGTTAAATAAATAGTTTTAAAATAGCTAAATAAAATGATATAGAAAAATATCAAATTGCAACCTTCTAGCAAGTGCGTCGGTGAAATGTTGACAATATATAACCCTTCGGCTGTGCAACACATCATACGATGGGGTACCTAAATATGCTCAGACTGCACATCCCATCATATGATGATGATGTATTAGAGAACTGCCTAAAGTTTAAGTTTTGCACATCCATGGGGCTTACAGTTGCTTCTTCAAAGGGGAAACAGCTGCTGCGTCCTCAGTTCCTGTCCAGAAGCAGAGGAGCTCCAAGAGATCCACATTGTTTCTCAGGCCTCCAGTAACAGTCCCCTATTTTGAAAAAAAACAATCCCGAGTCCCTCACCCTTCTAGGGCCTTCGTAAAAAAAAAATTAAGGACTATAGTTGGCAACACCACTATCCCGTGCATGAATGTGCAGGGTGGCCATACTAGGAGCCATTGAACTTTTATCAACAGCAAATGAGTGATTACCATTATATATATCAGGCAAAATGTCCAATTATTGTATACAATTTAGGCTTTCATATATTAGTACGAATAAATGTGTGGTGTGTGAATATTTATAATTATGAAATATTATGAAAAGTTATACCTAATGAACCCCATCCTTGACTAATCATTACAACTCTTTAGAACAAAAACCATCATTGAATGTAATGAAACGCCATTTTCTGGCTGAGACCCGGAGGCTTCCCAGCTATATCGGGCTGATCTGCATATATTAGACCATGGCAACAGTCATTCGATGGAGTTCTAGGCCTAACAAATCAGGGCTAGAACCTGGCCACCCTCAGTGAGGCATGAGGAGCAATGGCTTACAGACACCCCCGTGTAATTGGAAGCAGACTATGTCTGCCATCTACCAGGTCAGGTACCCAGAAAGGTAGGAATTCCAAAACAAACTACAGCTGGTCAAAAATTGCAAACCGAAAGCTGAACTGAACTTTCGCAAAAAGTCCCCCAATTGCAAAAAAGTGTGACATCACCACAGCGACTGCACAGCCGTCTGTGCAACTCCCTTTTTCCCGGGAGGATGAAGGAGGGGTCCCAGACCTCCGTGCCAGGTACTCCACCTCCGTTTAGAAGTAAGTAATTATCAAAAGAAGGCACCAAACCGGGAAGGCTATGTAGCACCATCAAATACGCAAAATAATCAGAGGGCCCTAAATATCACCAAGGATGCCAATACGAGAACAAAAACGCATAAGGCGAACGATATCAAAAGTATCTGAGTCACCAAGAACTCTATCGAGGGACAGGTGACCGTGAGGGGCGGTCGGAAAGCAAGACACACGCTCGTCCTGGAAGTCAGGACATTCAAGAAGGACATGCACGACCGTAAGAGGGACAATGCAACTAGGACAATAAGGAGCAGGGCAGCGCTCCATCAAGTGACCATGGGTTAAGCGAGTATGGCCAATACGCAACCTCGCCAGAGCTGTTTCCCACCGCCGGTTACGGTGGAAGGAGGACGGCCACGAGGAAACACAACATTTAAGAGTACGTGGCTTGTTACCAGTAACAGACAACCAAGAAGCCTGCCAACGGGTAAGGACTGAGGAATGGATAACCGGGTAAAAGTCGGAATACGGAATGCCTTTACGAGAGATGGGACAAGAGCGGACAGCTTCCTTGGCGTCAGCATCCGCACGCTCATTTAAAGACACACCAATATGGCTGGGAACCCAACAAAACTCAACCGACTTAAATTTACTGTGAACGAGAAACAGCCAATGCTGGATCTCGACAACTACTGGATGAACCGGATTAAAGGACCCGAGAGCCATGAGGGCACTACGAGAGTCAACAACAACTACAAAGGAAGACTGACAACGAGAAAGCAGGAGACGAAGAGCATAGAGAATAGCATAAAGTTCCGCTGTAAAGATGCTAGTCTCCGGAGGCAAGCGACACATATAAGTGCGATCAGGAAAAACAACAGAGTAGCCAACACCGTCCGCTGACTTAGACCCATCGGTGAAGACAGAAACGGAGCGGGAGTGAGAAGAAAAGTGCTCGAGGAAAAGGTGTTTTAGAACCGTAGGAGGGGTAAAAGCTTCAGTGATACGGGTCAAGGATGTACAAAACCGCGGAAGAGGGACCCTCCATGGGGGCAAAGAAGGAACAACACGAGGAGAAACATCAGAAATACGAACGGAAAGAGAATCCTGTAGGCGAGATAACCGGACAGAAAGAGGGAGGTGGTGAAGAGGAACATGAACCGCAGGAGGGGTAAAAGTTAAAGCACGACAGAGGCGAGAGGAAGGATGTTGCAAGGACCGTGCAAGATAGCGAAGACAGTAGCGATCACGGCGGTCTTGGAGAAACAGGAAGCCAGTGTCAACATACAAGCTAAGGACGGGAGTCGAACGAAAGGTACCAGAACTGAGGCGCAACCCAGTATGGTGCAAAGCATCAAGACGGCAAAGAGTAGAAGGAGAAGCGGACGAGCAAGCAGGGCAACCATAATCGAGCTTAGACAGGACGAGAGAGGAATGTAAAGCAAGGAGAGTGCGCCTATCTGCCCCCCCAAGAAGTATGGGACAAGACCCGAAGGAGGGTAAGGGCCTTAGAGCACTCAACACGGAGGTAAGAGATATGGGGAGACCAAGACAAACGAGTGTCAAGGAATAACCCCAAAAGCTTCGCGGAATCTTTGTACTCAAGGGGATGACAAAGTGACAAAGAGGGACGAAGAACGACCCGTTTCCGCGTAAAAGTCATGGCACAAGTCTTAGAAGTAGAGAACTTGAAGCCATGATCTGTGGCCCAAGATGACACGGCATCAATTGCAAGTTGAAGCCGGCGCTGAAGGAGAGGCGAATCATCACCATGACAGCAAAGGGTAAGATCATCGATATAGAGAGCGGAGAAGACACCTGAAGGAAGAGAGGAGAGAAGACCATTGAGGGCAACCAGAAAAAGAGTAGTGCTCAGAACACTACCCTGGGGCACACCTTCGTATTGCTGAAAAGAGGCAGAGAGAGCGGTACCAAGGCGCACCCGAAAGGAACGACGAGAGAGGAAGCTCGCAGCAAAAGCAGTACGAATATAGACCTCCAAGTTCACCAGGACATCTGTCATGCTGCGGCACTTGCGGAAACCAAATTGAGAAGGGGAGAGGAGGTGATGGTGTTCCAGGAACCACATCAGACGAACGTTAACCATACGTTCAAAGAGTTTGCAGACACAACTTGTGAGGGCAATAGGGCGAAAGTCCTTAGGGAAAGTACCCAGAGACCCCGGTTTGCGAACAGGGAGGACAACGGCATCGTGCCAGTCCTCAGGGACTGACGACGACTCCCAGATCCGATTATACAGACTCAGTAAATACTGAGACGTGCACAGAGGGAGATGGCGAAGCATATCATAATGAATACCATCGGGGCCCGCCGCCATAGAACCGCAGAGGGCCAGGGCAGAACGAAGTTCAGAGAGAGAGAAGGGATCGTTATAGGGAAGCTGAAGATGAGTGCAGAAATCTAAAGGACAAGACTCAAGGACAGGTTTACGAAGAAGGAAAGATTGGGGAAGATGAAGACCAGAGCTAACAGAAGAAAAGTGGGAACCCAGTA